AAACAACATCACATTTTAAATAACCTCAAACAACATCACATTTTAAATAACCTCAAACAACATCACATTTTAAATAACCTCAAACAACATCACATTTTAAATAACCTCAAACAACAACACATTTTAAATAACCTCAAACAACAACACATTTTAAATAACCTCAAACAACAACACATTTTAAATAACCTCAAACAACAACAACACATTTTAAATAACCTCAAACAACACATTTTAAATAACCTCAAACAACAACACATTTTAATAACCTCAAACAACACATTTTAAAATAACACCTCAAACAAACACATTTTTAATAACCGCAACAAACACAAAACATATTTAAAATAACCTCAAACAACAACAACACATTTTAAATAACCTGAAACAACAACAACACATTTTAAATAACCTCAAACAACACATTTTAAATAACCTCAAACAACATCACATTTTAAATAACCTCAAACAACAACACATTTTAAATAACCTCAAACAACAACACATTTTATAACCTCAAACAACAACACATTTTAAATAACCTCAAACAACAACACATTTTAAATAACCTCAAACAACACATTTTAATAACCCTCAACAACACACATTTTAAATACCCTCAAACAACATCACTTTTTAAAATACCTTCAAACAAACAAACACATTTGTCAAAACCTCCCCACACAACACATTTTAATAACCTCAACAACATGTCACATTTAAATACTCAAACACAAACAACACATTTTAAATAAATAACATCAAACAACAACAACATTTTAAATAACATCAAACAACAACAACACCTTTTAAATAACCTCAAACAACAACACATTTTAAATCACCTCAAACAACAACAACACCATTTTTAAATAACCTCAAACAACAACAACACATTTTAAATAACCTCAAACAACAACAACACATTTTAAAGTAAAGGTTTGATATGTTTTTCAGATGCATGTGCAAAAACATTTCTAAGATGCAGAATATCCTTTTCGAAATGCATGAAAAGCAATATTTTTTTTGATGTATTATTATTTTCTTTATCATCCATTTGCAATATTGAACTTTAAACACGCACGTGCATTACAACTCTTTCAAATGAATCTGCAACACACCTTTCTTTATCCATGTGCAATACACATATTTAATCATCATTTTCAGTCTTTGTTTTCTAACATCTGTTATGAACTTGGATACACAAGGAAAGAGGACTCAAATGCACGACCCGGGAGCCAGAGATAAAGTAGGCTATAAGTAATATACTTTATTTGCCAAAAAAGATAACGGCACTCTTAACGAGGCGACAAAAAATAGGTTTCACTAAGGCACAAGAAAAATCGCTCACAATGTGAGGAACAAACTTACAATACGTTTCAGGAGCAGAGTTCTGGCATGAGGACGAACTGACAACAAACAGGGAGACTGGGGAAGTTAAGCAGGAGATAACTGGGCACAGGTGAAAACACTCAGGGGCGGGGCTGGCGCTGATGAGCGCGGGAGAAACACACAAGTCAAGGAACCTGGGGGGTATACTACGAAGCAGGATTTTCGCTTAGCGGCTAAATTCAGAGAAAACTCCGGCTTTCCGGTCCTCCGAAGCTGGTTCTCTTTTTAGCAGGCTAGATCTCCATGGTAACTTATGCTTAGCGGCTAACCTGGTCGGGAGCAGGTTAGGTTGCAGGCTAAGAGATCAACTCAGTGAAAGCACCGCCTGCTGACCAATCAGAGCTCAGTGTGCGGAGTTTAAAGCGATCAAGTCATATTACAGGAGAAAGGAAATACAGAAAAGCTGCCGTCGCAGGAAAGACGGCCGGCAAAAATCACCGACTGTGTGAACGTGAACATGAATAGAATATCACCTCCATCTTCAGAGCAATCTGACTATTATAACATTAGCGTTAAGAAAGCTTACTTAAATATCTGCCACAACATAAGTAACCGGATCAGAGTAACATTAAGTACAGCATATCACTTCATAATGTATCACATATCTCCTGATCTGAGTCAGCTGAGCCGTATCTGGCCGTGCAACACTCACAGCGTTACAGACTGGATGCAGAAGGATTATTTTAAGCAACACATTAAGTTGAGGAAACACTGGAGTCAAATGTAATTAAAGTCAAATGGTGTCTTAGACGGGCAGTGATATCATAAAGCTGTTAATGTATGCATTCAAACACTTGTTCTGTTCCCAGCTGTGTTCACCTTGCAGGTGCAGCTCTGTGGCTTTGATCCTGGATCAAGTGTTTAAGGCATGGATGTTTAAAGTTTAACTTCTTCATTTTTGACTAGTATTATAGTTGACTTTTCATTCAGGAAGTATGACGCTGCGCTGTCAGTGTGCTTCTCCATGTCTGTGATTGGTCGAATGCTCCAGATACCACCCCTCTCATGTGAACACCTAACTAGATAGGACACGGCTGGCTTGAGCGATCCACTTGATAACCAGCGTCGTAGTACCGTTTATCGAGAGCGCGTATGTTCTGGATTAGGCCAACCGGCTAACTCAAACATATCCAGGTTAGGTTGAACCAGCTGCGTAGTACAGGCCCCTGGTATGAGACGTAACAAGTGAAAAACAAAACAAGAATGAACAAACAACAACATGAAACGTGACTCAACACTTTTGACAACAACATGTGCAATACTCCTTTTTGTATTACCATTGCCAATACTCTCTCCGTATGCAATATTATTAGTTTCTCTCCTGACTTTACTTCCATCTCATTATTGATTGAACTACTTGTTTGTTTGTCCCTCAGTCTGGACAAAGTGAAGGTGTTGTCTCTGATGCTCCACGCTGCAGACATCAGTCACCCCGCTAAAGCCTGGCCGCTGCACTACCGCTGGACCCACAGCCTGATGGAGGAGTTCTTCAGACAGGTCACTATTATAAGATATATATAGATATATATGGACTGTACTTAAGTACACACTTGAGCTGCTTGTACTTTGCTAGAGTATTATAATGCTGTTCTCTAGTTGTACTCCACTTGGGAACTACACCAGGTTTTTCTTTTGATTTACAATATCTTGCCAACGACATAGCTTGTCCAGCTTTGTCTTTGAAATGACAGCATTTGCTTTGCTGAGTCATCACGTTCAAGCAGTAACATGTGGATGTAAATATCACACAGTTGTTTTGATCACACCATATTTATAATGTACTGTTTCTCACCAGGGAGATAAAGAGGTGGAGCTCGGCCTTCCCTTTTCTCCTCTCTGTGACCGCAAAGCCACCATGATCGCCCAATCACAGATCGGTAAGAAGATCAATAATACAATAGGCTGTCAGTGTGTGGTAACTTTGAGACCCCTGCTGGTGGTCTGAAGAACTGAGGAGAGGAATGGGTTGGATGATCACCTTGTGAAAAGCAGAGTAACTCATGTTGAAATCTCCCTCGTCCCCGGCTTGAGCTTGAACCTCAGGATCCATGTATCTGTGGTCCTCTCCAGAATGGAAGGAGTCATCACATACAGAGCATCAACTAGTTCCTGAGCAGTGTCCTTCACATGCTGATATCCAAGAGAGGGAGTCACACAGTCACAAGATGGAGGAATAGAAAGCAGTATTCAATGTTTACTTCAGATTAGCTCCACGTCAGAAATGAGCATGCTTGATGTCTCTCTCCATAGAGGCTGAATCATCATGTTAATCACATAGCTATCATATGCCTCAAACAGTCCTGATGCTCTTCTAAGTAATCACACATCCTGTCATGTTTACAGCTACAGTTGGGATCCCTTTGTTAGCATGTTACTCTCATACTGGAAGAGGACTTTCAGTGTTTTCCAAACAGTTATAATTTCCTTCTATCTTCTGTACCCTTCTCTCATGTTTCAGGTTTCATCGACTTCATCGTGGAGCCGACTTTCAGCGTTCTGATCGACACGACGGAGAAAGTGATTGGTCCTCTGATCGAAGAGGACAGGAAGGCAAGAGAGACAGGGACCAGGAGGTCGAGGTAATAAAACGATTAACAAATACAAGTTACGAGAAGAATACTTTATCCACAAGTGTAACAGACGTAAGGTTGGGTATTGAAAACAGGATCTGCGCTGGAGCAGGTTTCCCTCTCAATGCTTCGACTGTAACAAAACTCTCATCATTGAATAATTATTCCAAATCAAGAGCCACTAAACTTAGGTTATCAGCCAATATACCAAGTACTGATCTGACATTAGTACACTTCTTTTTCCCAAATTGAAAAATCAAAAAAATCTCTGTTTTTAGAAGTGATTTAGATTTGTAATTGAAAGTTCCCATGAAAGGAAAAAAGATCATTTTTATCCTGTATGTATTGTGCTAGTCGTCACTTATATGCTATATTTGTTGAAATGTAAATTAAATATCAAGAAGTAAAAAGTTAAAGTTAAGGTTTAAGGCAGGGGTCGGCAACCTTTTTGATATGAAGTGCCATTCCAAAAAATAAATCTGATCAATGTGCCGACGTTCGTGAACTGTCAACGGGGGGGGGGGGGGGGGGAGAGCCTCGCTGCGGAGAAGCTGTGGACCTCTGTCGCCTGTCAGCGCAACTTACATGATGCCGTTTAAACACAGAGAACCGGACCGGTCGTTGCTGACGACCGGACGTTCTGTGATTCTCCAGAACACACAGATGGCCAGTCCGCCCCTGTGTAGCATATTATTTTCGATGACAGATGAGCAGATCGCCACTTGGCTTTCAACTAAAGACACAGCCACGCAAAAACTGCGGAGTTAAAGAGAGCGGGGGCCTAGAAGTTATCCTTCTGTGCTGCGTTGCGTGCATGGCTTCCTTCTGCAGGTAACGGGGAGACGCGCTCTGGCGGCGGTCTCGTTCAGGATCCGAAAATACAATTTAAATAGTTTGCACACTTATTCCTAGTGTGTCACCGTCACTGGTTAGGGTACCGCGTGCCAATGGTGGCACACGAGCCTAGGGTTGCCGACCCCTGGTTTAAGGGAATTAAATCACGGTCACATTACCTCACGTCACCTCCGCTAAGCTAAAGGCGGCTAATGCTGGGCTATAAAGGAACTACAGCTCGGTCACATGACTTCACGTCACCACCGCTAAGCTAAAGGTGGCTAATGCTGGGCTATAAAGGAACTGCAGCACGGTCACATGACTTCACATCACCACCGCTAAGCTACATGTGGCTAATGTTGGGCTATAAAGGAACTACAGCACGGTCACATGACTTCACGTCACCACCGCTAAGCTACATGTGGCTAATGTTGGGCTATAAAGGAACTACAGCACGGTCACATGACTTCACTTCACCACCGCTAAGCTAAAGGTGGCTAATGTTGGGCTATAAAGGAACTACAGCACGGTCACATGACTTCACGGCACCACCGCTAAGCTAAAGGTGGCTAATGTTGGGCTATAAAGGAACTCATTTCTGCACCTATCTATTTGTTCAAGACGAGTTAATTGTCTAATTCTATTGGACAGAATGTAGTTAATGTGACATTAACAACCTCCCCTGGTTCCCCATTGGTCCAGCCTCACAGGAAGTGGTTCCGTTACCGTGGAGGCAGTGCAGAGACACAGCAGCAGTCGCCATGGGAACAGCGATGACGGACAGCTGGACTTCTCTCTGACGGCCATCGACCTGCCGGCTATGAAGCAAAACCTGTCGGACGTGATCGGGAGCAACAAGGACCGCTGGAAAGAGCTGTCTGTGCACGGTACACACACACCACACACACACACACACACACACACACACACACACACACACACACACACACACACACACACACACACACACACACACACACACACATGCACGCACACACACACAGTGGTGGACAGTAACTACAATTTGTAGGTACTTTTCTGTACCACACTACATTAATCTGACATCATTATTGTACAAAATTATCGACATATAATTGACCATGTATTATTTGTAGGTGAAGATCACATTTAGCACAAGTTATCCTGTATGTACTAACTAAAACAATTGTTAATAAGGCTTATAATTAACATGTAATTAACATTACGTTTTATTTGGAATTTATATGTATATTTGACCTTTTTAGAACTTTTTCATGCTAATATATCAGTACTTTTCATAAAGAAAACTTTAAACGCAGTATTTTGTTTACATATCTTCGTCAGACAAACACTATAGGAAATCCTGAGTTTGAATCTCTGTCTGTAAGTCATACCTGTATGCTGTCGAGCCATCATCTTTTAAAAATGCATCACTGTTTCTCGACACGTAAATGATCTCTGTATTCCCTGGTTTGGACGCACGGTTTGAACACAGTTTGGCTTTCATTACTGAAAAAAGGTGTAAATTGCTCACATTGCTCACATCTGGGTGCCTGCTTTGATGTGTGACCAGTGCTTGAATTGGAATGAAAAAGGTGCCAGTACTCTAAAATCAGCAACTTTTTCAAGTCAATTTTATATATACAGCCCACAAACAAGAATTTGGCTACTATAATGCTGGTGGGTTTGTCTCTTTACTACTGTATATTTTAGAAAGGTTCACTGTACTTAACATTTTTTATGATAGGCAGCGGATATGGCTAAAGCTCAGTAAGGTCAATATTAACTGAAAATATAGCAATCAAAGTCTAGATCTTCTGCTGAAGACACATGAAGCAGAGACCTTTCAGGTGAGAGCCCCTCTGGTGGTGTTCAACATTAATGACAAGGAAACAAAGCTCTGGTCAGAAGCATTTTTTATAAAAAGCTTTAACAAAATTAAGTATTTCTGTACATTTTGAATGCAATCTAACTTTCCAACTCAGAAAACGAAAAACGAAAAAGTGCCAAAAGTCTTCTCACATGGCTGAGCTGCTTTGCAATATACTTCACCACTGAAGAATACAAATATGTATAAAGTAAACTATGATGCAATCTAACTTTCCAACTCAGAAAAATGATAAAGAGCATGAACAAAGAACATGTAAAAACAAATGAAAAATGTGCACAATCTAAAATGAGAAACTGTAACTGCAAGTAACAAAGTCTGAGCCATGGTAAAGAGTTACATTGAACACCAAGCTGATCAGAATCAGATAACTCCCTGGTTGGTCTGAAGTCCTTCTATCTCCAGGATCTGTACAAATCGGCACATTATGCCAAAAGTCTTCTCACTGGGTGAGCTGCTTTGCAATATACTTCACATTGTTAGAAAAGGCTCCAGAAGGCCTTGGGGACATCAGTATCAGGGGCTGGAGCTGGACAGGCTCTTTCATCAGCACTTCTCCTTCCCTTTGCCAGCCAGGACCTCACATACTGTTCCGGATTGAACTGTCCTAGTGATGGTCCATTACATTTAATGAAAACCAGGCTGGACAGTCGGCTGACAGAGAGAGCATTCCTTTTTGCAGTAAGGATATCGTTCATGCAGCTGAATGCCCGCTCACACTCACTAGTGGAGACAGCGATGGTTCGGACTGCTTTCAGTAGAGGCTCCATGGCAGCAGGTGTACGGGATGCCCTGGTTTCCTTGTATTCGCGAAAGCCCTGAACAGTCTCTCTTCTGTCCACTTTCAGCACTTCGCACAAACGTAGCACCTCTACGTCCCCATACTGTACGTCTAACTCCTCTTCAGGCCAACTTCCAGGATGGATAACTTTCATGTCCTGGATTAGCTGATTGTCCCGGGCCTCCCGGCCATGTAATGGGATTTCTCTTGTGCTGACATGAGAGGAGGTTGTGGAAGTCATTCTGTGTCTCAGATTCTCTACCATACTGCGGAAAAACTGACCTGCATGAATCTGTACAAGCCTGCCATTCTCACGCAGGGCAACACCCTTGAAGGACTTCTCAGCTAGAGCTGTATGAACTGTAGTCATGTGTGGGCCAGGCATGGTGACCATGGATTCAAAAACTCGTATTTCTCGAGTTAAGAGCCTATCTGCTGTAGGCAGTGTCATCTCTCTTTTTTGGAGTTGCCGAGAGAGGTCGCTGAGCTCTGTGAGCGCATCGTACATCAGTCCCAGATTGCTGACAAACGTTGCAGATGTGAGCACATCATCCAGGCCCTTGTACTTTGCTCTGTCTCTGGAATCCCTGCTCGTGTCGTTTGCAGCATTTGTGAAGTGATCATGAAGCACTCGGTAGTTTTCCCAGACTGCTCTGACACTCCTTTCACTTGAAGCCACCCAGCGGATGGACAAAACACGCCCTATCACCAGGAGACGCTGTCCGACTGCTTGCGCACACTGCGCTAACTGCCTCTGATTTTTGGGGGAGGCATGGAACAAGGAATAGAGTTTGTCAAAAAAGATCTGGAAATGATTGAGCCCTGAGACCTCCTTGACCACATCCCCAACTGCCAGCTCTAGACGATGATTGGAGCAGTGCCACACAAACAGGCTTGGGAATTTACTACACAACTGGGTAGCAACGCCTGTTCTCTTCCCTAGCATGACTGAAGCCCCATCACATGCAAAAGAAACGAAACACTGACCTAAAAAGTCCTCGTTAAAATCTCTTCCAAGACACTCCATTAACGCCTTTGTGATGTCATCAGCCGTTGTTCCATCCAACTCGATCAGCTCCCAAAAAAACGTTTCGGGCTCAGCATCAGCTAATGCTGAGCGTAGACACACAACAAGCACCGTTTTACCACTAATAGTGGTAGATTCATCGACCTAAACACAGAGTTTTCTTTGGTTTTCTGTAATGTCTTTTGCCATTTTTTTCTTCAGCTCATGAGCTATGTGGTCGATGATTTCGCCACAGGTTTTATTGGAGTGCAAAACCCTGCCCACGTCCAGCCCATTCAGTTTCTGTACATTCAAATCAATTGGCATGTCTGTGAATGGCCGGCTATGTTTGCCAATTTTATATGCCGTTCGAAAAACTCTGATAGTGGTGTCTAATTCAGATTTATGCATAGACTGCACTTGATGTTGAATAGTTTCACGTGAAGCAGATGTAAGGATGTCAGCAGCTTTTACATGGGCTTGTGATTATTTATGTTCTTTGATTTTTTTTCTCAGGCTAGCTTGTTGTTTGCCCTTGTCAACACCGAAATGAGACACTGCACACTCACCCCATTCAGTTGACAGTTTCAGTCCTTGTCCAGTGTGTATTCCCAAAGATTTGACATCTCTGCATATGCGACATCCTAGCTTCTTATCTTTAAGAAGGAGCCATGCATTGGTCTTGCAAAAATATTGCACCTGGTCCGTTGTCCAGCAGTCCAGCAGTCAGGTGCATCGCTTTGCCCGGTGTTGGTGGTGGCAGTTGCGCCAGCAGCAGCTAACGTTAGAGGCTCTGGAGGAGGCGGCGGAGCTAGTGCTAATGCTAATTCACTAGAACTTGGAGCAGGAGAATCAACCAAAGAAAGCTCCCCATCAGACACAATTTCCAACACAGGCACAGCATTCTCTGTATTTGAAGTTTCTTCCGGCGACAACCGCTGTCTTTTTGCACTTTTATTAATCCACGCTAACATTTTAGAAATGCTAATTTGTGACGTGATTGCTTTCCTTCTCTCGGGGGCGTGCCTGCTCTGTTCTATCACTCTACATAGCCACCCACTGGGTGGGAGTTGCACTGCATAAACACAACACACGTGCATCTAGGTATGTAAATTGTAAAGCATTAAAACATGGTTTTACTAACAGTTTTCAGTATGTTGTTACTTCGGCATTATTATTATTATTATTTTGAAACGTGTATTACTATTAAATCACGGTCAAATAGGTTAATTTTGACATAGTCGTTTCCACCACAGTATTTACATGGAGAAGATAAGCCCCGCCCCCTCTCCAGCATGTTCTGTTTGAATGACAGGAGTAAACAGCTGACAGCCGCTGTGAAACTCCAGCGGTTAGAGCGATGAGAATGTCCGTTCGGCACCTCATGACGCATCTACTGAGTACCGGGCGGCTGTATATATATATATGGATGTATAATAAGAACGGCGGGAGAGTGTTGAGTACTGGCACGGTGCATGAGTACCGGAGTACCGCCAGCATGCCGGTACTGAGCAAGAAGTGCCGGTACTCCATGGGTCAGAACCAGAAGTGCCGGTACTGCGTACCGGTGAGTACCGGCCCAATTCCAGCACTGCGTGTGACAGTCATTAGTCTAATTAGTGTTGACTTCCCGACTTCAGAGGAGTGTTAAACAGAAACATTTGGCTGATTTCTCATCATCAAACAATATCAAATGACTGTCAGCGCACCAATTTGGTCCAGACAGAAATATCTCAACAACTATTGGATGGATTGCCAAGAAACTTTATGGAGATACTTCAGGGATAATCCTGCAGACCTTTCTCTGCTTCATGACTGCTTTGTTTGTGAGTGAAATCTATTGACATATAGTTGATGGATAGCTGTGACATTTGGTGGAGATTATCCAGGTACTTTAAGGATAAACTTTAATGACGTTAGTGATCCCTAACATTTCCTCTAGCACCATCGTCACATGACCAAATACCTGAGGAACTAATGACACCTGCACCATGTGTTTAGTGCTAAAATCAGGCAAACATCAGTATGTTAGCATAGTTAGTTTGAGCATTTTAAAAATTCACAATGTGTTTTTTAACCAAATACTCAGTAAATCACATATAGATGTAAATGAAATGTTCTTAAACAAGTGTTCCTGTGTTTTGAACAGAGCTGGCCAGCAAGGAGAAGGCAGACAAAGAGGAAGAGCAGTCCAACGTCAACTCAGACGTTCAATCAAATGCCTCGCCCAGTCACAGTGTCCCTGATGGACAAACGACGGACCAATCACAGGAGGGCTCCCCGCCTGATGAAGAGAGGCAGGACGACACGCCTCCTGTCCACCTGACATGCAACGGTACGAAAGGGACATCGTAAAATAACGTTTCCTAAAATGTGACTGTATTCAAAACCGCCTACTATACAAGTTGAGTGTGTCCAACAATACACACTCAACATTGTGACAGATATGAGTGTTTTCAAATACAGCCTCTCCATAGGGTGGCGCAGTGATTTATTTTGTTTGCAGGCCAAATCTTAAATTTGCATCTGCCCTTTGTAAAAAGCCAACAGATTGTGTGATTTTGGATTATGTCAGAAAATAATATCTGTGTCAAACAAACGTTTATGATACTTACATGTTTTGTACAGCAGGATAATCTCCACATATTAACACCATTTATGATTTCTGAAGTAAAAAGCTAATGTTGGGCTATAAAGGAACTACAGCACGGTCACATGACTTCACGTCTTCACCGCTAAGCTAAAGGAGGCTAATGTTGGGCTATAATGGAACTACAGCACGGTCACATGACTTCACGTCGTCACCGCTAAGCTAAAGGCGGCTAATGTTGGGCTATAAAGGAACTACAGCACGGTCACATGACTTCACGTCACCACCGCTAAGCTAAAGGAGGCTAATGTTGGGCTATAAAGGAACTACAGCACGGTCACATGACTTCACGTCACCACCGCTAAGCTAAAGGAGGCTAATGTTGGGCTATAAAGGAACTGCAGCACGGTCACATGACTTCACTTGGTCTTTACTGATGTACTTTATGTCTTTGATCACTTTCAAGCCTTCTTTAAGGCATCTAACAAACACATTTCATGTTTTTGTGGTTGCAGGGGCGGGGCTAGCGGAGGAGAAAGAGGACGAGGAGGAAGTGCCTGAAAAAGCCTGATGGCTTCACGTTGAAAATGGATATGTGTGTGGCGGATCACCTCAAGTGCGGTGCAGTGACGGCAAGAGTTTGGACTTGTGTGTTTTAAACACAGCAGTGACTCAGCGGCCCCTCAGTGGCCCCCTAAAGAAGGAGCTTATGTTTACAACCGACCATGAATAAAAAAATGCATTCAAAGTGACGACATTCATCAGATTAAAGCTTCTTAGCAACTTCATGGTCCATTCACTGTGGTGAAAGTGTTTTATGGTTGTACTACTAGAGGCTCAGAGGAACAATGTCTGTGAAAGTGAAATGTCAATATTTGAAATGTAAATAAAAACAGACGGGTTGAAAACCAAAGAGCGTCCAGTGGCTGTTCATGGCAGGTTAAATATCTCTGTTCATGGAGCTGTTAGGAAGAAGCCGAGCACAGCGACAGGTGTGTGTTTATAATCCTCTTATTATATGTTTAGAGAGTGAAGGGTGATTTCTGCTTTGATTTTCTGCTCTATGCTCAAATGATCAAGCATGTGTTCCTGGCCACGTCCCAATAAGTGATGTCAAATAATAATCTATATTTCCTTTAGGATATAGGAGTAGTTGTTAGCTTTGGTCCAAACTGGAATATCTCAACGACAATTGGATAGATTTCCATTAAGCTACCGTAATTCACAACACAAGACACAATGACATACAGATGATCCGACAGTATTTTTTCCTCTCCTCTCGTTAAACACAACAATATTTGTAGATAGTCATGGTGACTTTCTGTGCATTTATCCAATAAAATATGATTTTAAGAGATCAAAAATAAGTGTTTTGGCTCAAATTGCCGCTGTTAGTTAGCTAGCTTACAACTTTATCGTTTGTGTTGTCAAATCATTACCGACTGCTCAATAAACCCTATAAAAATTAACATTGGCTTATTTTGGGCACAAATATAGTGGTACGTTTATTAAGTAGTACAAATTATTTGTATAATGCAAGTTTCACCAAAGTAGCCGCCGCTATCGCTAATGTTACGTGTATGGTGGCTATCAACGTTATCATTAAGAGTAGCTATCATTCCAGACTGCTCAATCTACCCTATCAAATTAATGGTGGCTTCTTTTCAACGGCAGTATAGCCTATAGTGGCACATTTATCAAACTGTGACAAAAATACACAATTATAACATAAGCAAATGCTATTGCTAGCGCCAAGATGACAGTCGTATTGCTTTTTGTCACACTTCTTATTTTTTTAAAGAGCAAATATAAATAGGAGTAGGCAGATCGAGACACATGTCGTTACCTGTACCTGTTGTGACATCACTGATGGGGGCGTGGCTAGATGTTTGAACCCACAGAGAGCAGCAGCAGTGAATCAGTGTGGATTTTACATTAAACTATTTTAAAGGACGTTTCTTTTTTCTGCAACATGAGTCGTCTTGCTGTACTTTTGGCCAGTATACCCATAGGCCAGCATATTATACTCTACACCATCTCTGTAGAAACTGGTAAAAAACACAAGAATGTTCCTTTAAATTCCCACAATCTTAGTGTTTTTTATTTTTTTTAAAACACGTAACTGTAATTTCTACTGACTGTGAAAATAGAACCACAACAGCTGAAACTCTTTAGATCCTCTGAGCACCGTGTTTGTTAATGCAATGTGTGTGTGTGTGTGTGTGTGTGTGTGTGTGTGTGTGTGTGTGTGTGTGTGTGTGTGTGTGTGTGTGTGTGTGTGTGTGTGTGTGTGTGTGTGTGTGTGTGTGTGTGTGTGTGTGTGTGTGTGTGTGTGTGTGTGTGTGTGTGTGTGTGTGTGTGTGTGTGTGAGTGAGTGAGTGTTTTGACTGTACAGCTCTTTCCAATATATATTATATTAAACATTCAGAACTCTGGTCCACTACTGTTTTCATTTTAAAGTAGAGGCACTACATACTGATATACACCTGAACATCAGCAGGAGAGGACTCTTTAAAGTAGAGACACTACATACTGATATACACCTGAACATCAGCAGGAGAGGACTCTTTAAAGTATAGACACTACATACTGATATACACCTGAACATCAGCAGGAGAGGACTCTTTAAAGCAGAGACACTACATACTGATATACACCTGAACATCAGCAGGAGAGGACTCTTTAAAGTATAGACACTACATACTGATATACACCTGAACATCAGCAGGAGAGGACTCTTTAAAGTAGAGACACTACATACTGATATACACCTGAACATCAGCAGGAGAGGACTCTTTAAAGTATAGACACTACATACTGATATACACCTGAACATCAGCAGGAGAGGACTCTTTAAAGTAGAGACACTACATACTGATATACACCTGAACATCAGCAGGAGATGACTCTTTAAAGTATAGACACTACATACTGATATACACCTGAACATCAGCAGGAGAGGACTCTTTAAAGTAGAGGCACTACATGCTGATATACACCTGAACATCAGCAGGAGAGGACTTTTTAAAGTAGAGACACTACATACTGATATACACCTGAACATCAGCAGGAGAGGACTCTTTAAAGTAGAGACACTACATACTGATATACACCTGAACATCAGCAGGAGAGGACTCTTTAAAGTAGAGACACTACATACTGATATACACCTGAACATCAGCAGGAGAGGACTCTTTAAAGTAGAGACACTACATATTGATATACACCTGAACATCAGCAGGAGAGGACTCTTTAAAGTATAGACACTACATACTGATATACACCTGAACATCAGCAGGAGAGGACTCTTTAAAGTAGAGACACTACATACTGATATACACCTGAAGATCAGCAGGAGAGGACTCTTTAAAGTAGAGACACTACATACTGATATACACCTGAACATCAGCAGGAGAGGACTCTTTAAAGTAGAGACACTACTGATATACACCTGAAGATCAGCAGGAGAGGACTCTTTAAAGTAGAGACACTACATACTGATATACACCTGAACATCAGCAGGAGAGGACTCTTTAAAGTAGAGACACTACTGATATACACCTGAACATCAGCAGGAGAGGACTCTTTAAAGTATAGACACTACATACTGATATACACCTGAACATCAGCAGGAGAGGACTCTTTAAAGTAGAAACACTACATACTGATATACACCTGAACATCAGCAGGAGAGGACTCTTTAAAGTAGAGGCACTACATGCTGATATACACCTGAACATCAGCAGGAGAGGACTCTTTAAAGTAGAGACACTTCATACTGATATACACCTGAACATCAGCAGGAGAGGACTCTTTAAAGTAGGGACACTACATACTGATATACACCTGAACATCAGCAGGAGAGGACTCTTTAAAGTAGGGACACTACATACTGATATACACCTGAACATCAGCAGGAGAGGACTCTTTAAAGTAGAGACGCATACTGATATACACCTGAACATCAGCAGGAGAGGACTCTTTAAAGTAGAGACACTACATACTGATATACACCTGAACATCAGCAGGAGAGGACTCTTTAAAGTAGAGACACTACATACTGATATACACCTGAACATCAGCAGCAGAGGACTCTTTAAAGTAGGGACACTACATACTGATATACACCTGAACATCAGCAGGAGAGGACTCTTTAAAGTAGAGACACTACATACTGATATACACCTGAACATCAGCAGCAGAGGACTCTTTAAAGTAGAGACACTACATACTGATATACACCTGAACATCAGCAGTAGAGGACTCTTTAAAGTAGAGACACTACATACTGATATACACCTGAACATCAGCAGGAGAGCACTCTTTAAAGTAGAGACACTACATACTGATATACACCTGAACATCAGCAGGAGAGGACTCTTTAAAGTAGAGACACTACATACTGATATACACCTGAACATCAGCAGGAGAGGACTCTTTAAAGTAGAGACACTACAGTATAAGGCACGATAGAGATAATAATCAAAATGGTGGAGGGTGTGCCACGTTTCTCAAAGATGGTGTGGCATACAGGGAGGTGCAATCTCCTGATGATATAGACTGTATTATAGTGGAAATCTGCAACCCTAGGAAACAAGATAACATTAGGATAATCAATGTATACAACCCATGTCCAAATCTAATCACTGATATATTTAAAGAAATAGCAGGCAATAAACATAGGAAGGAAGTTTGGTGTGGTGATTTCAATGCACACAACAGTCTATGGGGCAGCAACCATACAGACAGTAACGGAAATATAGTGGAAGAAATGCTGGAGGAAAGAACACTAGAATGCCTTAAAGGTGGGGTAGGTAATTTTGGAGAAACCGGCTCGAGTGGCTAGAATTTGAAAATAAACAACCGGGAAAAAAATGCCACTTCCTCACAGAGCTCCTCCTCCAACACACACGAACGCGCACATGACCAATGAGGGCACGAGATAAGTTTGTGCACAGATGGAAGGCTGACAGGCAGGTAGGCCATCCAGTTACTTTAGCCGGCTCAGATGATTGGTCGAGCTTTTTACAGCGCTACGGCTTCAAAGCACTTCAGATATTCATTGCTATCGGACGTTAAGAGCATTCCATGGAAGATAACAACAAGTGTATCTCGAGCCGGTTTCTCAAACTTACCTACCCCACCTTTAATGATGGACATGGCACACGAGTAGATGTTCACAGGGGGAAAGTCTCATGCCTGGATCTGACATTAGTGTCAAACTGTTTGGTTCATGTGAATGGTTTGTTTTGAATAACTCCACTGTAGGAAGTGACCATTATCCAGTGCTTACTCAAATGAATACTAACGTATATATGCAGGAAGGAGGTGTGATAACCAGGAGGTGCTTTGATAATGCTGATTGGGGGAAATGTAGGATATGGTGTGAGGAGTCGGTCCACCTGCTAACATCAGAGGGAAGCATAGAGGTCATTACAAGCCACATAACGCACCATAAAGGAGGCAGAGAACAGTATGCCCAAAACAACAACCAAGGGTAGGAAGAAAGTGGTGCCATGGTGGAATGAGGAATGCAGCAGGGCTACTAAAGAGCGAAATAATGCATTTAGAGAATTAAAGAAAAACACAACACAAAATAATGTTATAGAGTATCAAAGGAAAAGGGCAGCTGCTCGAAGGACAGTAAAATACACACAAGAGAACATGGAGAGAATTGTGTTCTACCATTGGCAGAGGAGTAACATTAGGTGATGTCTGGTCCATGTTTAAGCAGATGAGTGGGAAAAGGAAATCCATTACAATCAGCTTTGGTTGATGGGGAGAGGCTGGCAGTGACAGATAAAGAGAAGGCAGGTATGTTAGGAAGGACACTTGCAGCAGTACATAGTGGGGAGCATCTCAGTGATATCCATAGGCAGCAACAACAGCAGTTACTAGCAGAGAATGAAAACGTGAAGGAGAAGAGACAGGATAATAGGTCCGCTCTGGATGTGGAGTTTACAATGTCAGAACTCAAAATAGCCTTACAAGGTACAGGGTATACAGCCCCAGGACAAGACCAGCTATGCTATGCTATGTTTAGACAGTTACCTATGGAAACTTTGACAATGGTGCTGAGTCTTTTCAATACAATCTGGAGAGAAGGAGATATGCCAACTTGCCAAGTGTGTGGGAAACAGCAGTCGTGCTACCATTCAATAAGCCAGGGAAAGATACAGCTAACCCGTAACTACAGACCAATAGCTCTTACATCACACCTATGTAAATGGGTCATGGGAGCCTGCCTGCAGACCTCCACTCTCAGGACAGTTCCGGTGCAGGCTGCACTCTCAGGACACCTCCACTGTCAGTACAGGAAGTGACGATTCTGACGAACACGTTTTTCCCCGCCCCCCGAAAGACTTGTTTGATGGAATTTTTCAAATCACAATGGAGACGCATCACGGAGGTGATGAGTCCGCCCACCGTGCACTTTGGGTCGGCCTTGGTCAAGCCCTTTTGACCCCCCCAGCCTTGTTCTCGTACAAGTTTTTCGCTCAAATGACACCATGCAGGAATATAACGGGAGTTGACAGGAGACTCTGCCCGCCTCACAAGTGCCTATTTTCGGACACATTTTTTCACTTACCCCCCTATTTTCCCCGGTTTTATTATTTATTTATTTTTTGGCTATTTCACCCGGTTTCTACCGGTCTCGGGTGTCCCCCCACGGCCTGAGTCCAGCCCCCCCCCCACTCATCCATATATTAACGGATTTTGACCATTTTTGTTGCATTTTTCTCCTTTCTTCTCACTGATCGAATGGCAAACGCAACCCACCGTCCAGGGGTCCTACGGGTCCCGCAGCGGAGGTTCCCAGCTGGAACCTCCCCACCTCCGTCGCGTATATATATATATATATATATATATATATATATATATATATATATATAGGGACACCTTGTATTGTAGTTAATATCAGTACAGTATCACTTTTCCTCACTTAGATTGATTGAACTGTTCTGCCCTTACAGCGCGTATCCCTATGCGTAGCTAGACGTTCTTATTATACATCCATGAGCTAGACAGTTAGCTAACATTTAAAAGTCCTCCAATAAAGATGCAAGGTTTCTTTCTTGACTTTACTGTTCTTCTTTTACTTTGTAAAACTGTAACAATACAGAAATAAAACACATATAAGTATGCAGGCTTTACATAACATATAAGTAGCACTGTACAAACGACACACATAGGCCTACTACTATTAGGAATTAGCTATCATTAGCATCACTATTAGCTAGCACACGTCAGAATCGTCACTTCCTGTACTGACAGTGGAGGTGTCCTGAGAGTGGAGGTCTGCAGCGGAACTGTCCTGAGAGTGGAGGTCTGCAGGCAGACCCCTCTCAAATGGATGGGAAAGATCATTGTCCGTAGGCTCTCACATGTACTGGAACAGACTCAGGCTGCTGAGTTGTTTTCAGAGCGGATTTCGTAAAGGGCGGTCCACAATAGATGCTTTAGTAAGAGTGAGTAACGATGTGGAAAAAACATTGAAAATGAAAGAGATAATGGCAATAGTGTACTTTGACATTTAAAAGGTGTATGACTCTGTGTGGAGGGAGGGGTTACTGATCACATTGAGTAGAATGGGTATTGGAGAATGTACAATTGGGTAAGGGCCTTTTTAACAGACAGGACATTTAGAGTAAAGGTTGGAGCAGATATTTCCAATTATTTAGAAATAGAAAATGGTATTCCCCAAGGGAGTGCAGTCAGTCCAATATTATTTAACATCATGATTAATGAGATATTGACATGCTTAGACACATGCATCCAGTGGGCTCCATACGCAGATGATGGGGCTATTTGGATGAGGGGAAGCCATGCCCCATACGTAATGGAGAATATAGCTAGAGCGATTAAAAAGGTGGAGAGGTGGTCATATAACTGGGGATTCAAAATGTCAGAAAGCAAGTCATACAAATAAATGCAAGATTGATGGCCAACAGCTAACACTATGATCGACCAATAACCATGGCTTTACCCAGAAGCTAAAATAGATGTGAGTATCGTAGAAAGGAAAAAAGAGTGGCAAATAAATGAAGTGGGAATTAAAACATACGTACCTGAACGAAAAGTACTACAATTACCTCAAAATGTACACAGATGGCTCTAAGAACAAGGAAGAGTGTGTTGGAATTGGTATATACATCCCAGACTTTAAAATATCGATCTCAAAAAGAGCGTCTGATCAACTATCGGTATACGCAGCAGAAATGCTGGCAGTAATAATAGGATTGCAGTGGGTTGAAGAGGTCAGACCAGATAGGGTGGTGATATGCACAGATTCATTGTCCATATTAAAAAGCATACAATCAACAACAACTACCAGAGAAGACATTCTCATAGAACTGAACCACAGCCTGTTAAGACTTCACAGATCTGCAGTTCTGCTGGGTGCCTGCTCATGAGGGGTGAAAGGGAACGAGTGTGCATGAGGGGGTGAAAGAGAACGAGTGTGCATGAGGGGGTGAAAGGGAACGAGTGTGCATGAGGGGGAGAAAGGGAACGAGTGTGCATGAGGGGGTGAAAGGGAACGAGTGTGCATGAGGGGGTGAAAGGGAACGAGTGTGCATGAGGGGGGGAAAGGGAACGAGTGTGCATGAGGGGGGGAAAGGGAATGACTGTGCATGAGGGGGAGAAAGGGAACGAGTGTGCATGAGGGGGTGAAAGGGAACGAGTGTGCATGAGGGGGGGAAAGGGAACGAGTGTGCATGAGGGGGGGAAAGGGAACGAGTGTGCATGAGGGGGAGAAAGGGAACGAGTGTGCATGAGGGGGGGAAAGGGAACGAGTGTGCATGAGGGGGAGAAAGGGAACGAGTGTGCATGAGGGGGGGAAAGGGAACGAGTGTGCTGATAAATTAGCAAAAGGTGCACTACAAAAGGAGATAACATTACCAGTTCAACTTGGTAAAGGAGAAGGAAAAGCAGTCATTAGGAAGAAAGGGAAGGAGATCTGGCAGAAAAGGTGGGAGGAAGACCAGAAAGGCAAAGAGTGTCATCAAGTGCAAAAGACAATCACAATTAATATTTATAAAGAAAGGAACAGAAGGGAGGAAATCACGATAGCCAGACTCAGAATAAATCACACGGCTTTGGTGGTACTCCAAATTGTACTCTGTATGTCATGGGGGAAAGTGACAGTGACAAGTGTGGGAACTGTGGAGTAAAAGAAGATGGAGAACATATCTTGTTACATTGTGACATCTATAAAGCAGAAAGAGAAAAACTAAAGGCTAAAGTTTTAGAGGCAGAGAGGGAGTGGAGTGTGGTTGGTGTTTTGGGAACAAAAGGAGAGGGACTAAGAGCTACCAGAAAGGCACTGTTTACATTCTTGAGTGAAACTGGGGTAGGAAAAATAATGTAACATTAGGTCAAGAAAGAACATAGATTTTTATTTTATTTATTTCATGTTTTTGTTGATTTATTGATTTATTTATTTTGATAGATCATAGGTTAAAGAGTTGGAATGATATGATGATTCATACTCATGTACAGTAGGTGGCGGTATGCACATTTTAAGTTGTTCGCCAAAAGGGAAAGAAGAAGAAGAAGAAGAAGAAGAAGAGGTGGTGAGTGGATTAAACACCTGCAGCGATTTCATTAAGTGTATTTACACCTGTTAGCTTAGTTTTCAGTTAATCACGAATCAGAAGTTATCTTATGTAACACAACAGCTGTAATCTTGGAAGAAAGAAACTCACAAAAAAACTTAAAATGTGCGCCAAAATAGTCTCAAATTATCTTGAAATAAAGGCTAAAAGCCATCGGCTAACAGCTAAAGTCTAAAAGCTAACGGCTAACAGCTAAAGTCTAAAAGCCATCGGCTAACAGCTAAAGTCTAAAAGCTAACGGCTAACAGCTAAAGTCTAAAAGCTAACGGCTAACAGCTAAAGTCTAAAAGCTAACGGCTAACAGCTACAGTTATTATTCCAGTTCGGCTCTGTGGGAGTAACAGTTGATATGTAATGCTCAGCTGACTTTGTGTTAGTTATTTATTACACCAGTTATCTTTAAGACGGTTTGAGTTGTTGTGTTGGTGCTCTTTACCATAGATATGGTTTTAAATATATGCTAACTAGCTTATTAGCATCGCCATTCACCGTGACGTAGCATTTTTCCCATTGAAATGAATGGGGCTCCTCAGTTAGCAGCTAACGCTAAGCTAAGCGACGGTTTAGCTCATTAGATAAATAGATATATCCTTTATTTAAATAATGATTGATCTTAAACTGGGAAATGATTGTGTCACAGCAGAAGTGTTTTTAGTCATTACACAAGTTAAACATATTTAAAAGATGCAATAAGATATAATAAAAATGAAGCATTAGCAGCAAATGTACACACAGGACACATATCACTCGAGTATCTAAAGAATACACAATATACAGAAAATACTGTATACATGGAGTACATTAAACAGTCTCACTAGCTAATGTTTGCTTTCTGTGTTAACTTAGTGATAGTTAATGACACAGATAGCGTTATAACCATGGTTCAAACAACCGTTAATGTCACTTTCTATGTGAATAAAGTCATTTTAATGAAATAAAAGTGAACAAACTGTGAGCTGTAAGTTAGAATGTAAGTTGCTACACAGATTATGATGAATTATATCTAAATATCGTATTATATTAATAATAATTTAATAATAATAACTTTGTATTGTAATGGTTAAAGTCATTTGCATGTAACTGTAGATTAGTTTTGTTGTGTTTGTCGGTAGTATTGAGTTGTCTTGTTTTGTGTGTAGTTGAGACCCATCCGGAGAAGGAGAACTGAGAGCATCATGGAGGAGAACAAAGAGACCCCTGGAGCTCAGGTCAGTGTGCACTCCATCACAATATATTCCTAATTCCAGCGTTTCCGCCAGGCGGGCGTCTTGCCTTCATTTGACGCCCTTATTCAGATCGGAACGCAAAACTAAATTCATTGTCCGTCACAATAGGTTTAGCTCAGTGGTTCTCAAACTTTTTCTGTCAGGCCCCCCCTTTGGAGAAAAAGTCGGCCCCCCCAACACAAATAGTCACGTAATGGGCCAAGTTAACATTTATTAAAATACATCAATATGAACGTGAGCATTCCTTTGCTAGAACAGTGATAATAAAACAATGCTCCATAAGTCTGTGTGCTCAAAAAAATAAATACATAAGACAATTGTGCAATCCCTTTGCTTGAACAGTACGTTATAATACTTTGCCACTTTGCAATCTGTGCAAACAAAGGAAAAGAAAGAACATTCTGATATTTGGCAAAGTGTGTCTTCTTATCACAGGTGGCTGCAATGAGCCTGTGTTGCACATCTCTTCAAAACGGGGTTGCAGGCTCAGTGGCGGCGCCAGAGATTTATTTTGGGGGTGCTGTGCGGTAGCTTGACGTTTCATAGAGGGTGCTCAAACATTTAGGGTTTCCCATTAATGTACCTGTCGATACAGTGGAATGTTCTACTGCAACACTCCCCACGCATACACACAGTGTACCTGCGACTGTTACAATGAAGGCTCAATAATCAGCTCACGGCATATAGGTGTAAGCAGGGGTAAAGTGCTATTTTTATAGATGGTGTGTGGATCTCACATAGGGGGGTCCGGGGGCATGTTCCCCCGCGATTTTTTTTTTTTAAATATTGAAGTTAAAAGCATCAATCTGGTGCACTTTGAGAGCAACATGAAGAGATCTATGGATACATCTCTCAACACCCATATGAAACACAACTGTAAACAGATTTACTTTTTCTTTATAGATATTTTACAAATCACCTTTTAAACGTTATTCTTTTTTTACTCTATAGTATTTCATACCTGTTTTTCATTTATTCTCTTATTTTTTCTAACTATAATGATCATATAAACGTGTGCCTCGGAAATAATTGTTTTCATTAATCGTGACCAAAACATTTGAGTACCTGCTCTCTCTCTCGCTCGCTCGCGCGCACACACACACACACACACACACACACACACACACACACACACACAAAATGGCTCGTTACACACACAGAGCCGAGCTTGAATGAAACACAGAGACCCAGACGTATTTATACTGTATCAAATTAGGATTTATTTTACTTTTTTTTTTCAAAAACATTTTTCCTCCTGGTCTCTCGCCCCCCCTGCCATGCCTCTGCGCCCCCCCCCTCACTTTGAGAAACACTGATTTGGTCATGGTTCTCATGGTGTCCCACACTTTTTTTTGGGGACTTTGGCTTTAAAAGCATTTCCCAAAAGCTCTCTGTGCCAGTTTTGATTCCCTCAATTTGACTTTCAGTTCTCTCTCTGTCTAAGTGCTCCATAGTCTTTGTTTTTATAACTTTTTGTTAATGTCCTTTGTCACATATGATTTATTACTTGGATAGATTTGTATTTCTTTAGTGGGAACACAGAAGTTAATATAGTCTTTGGTAACAGTAGTTATTTCATCTAGTGCAGGGTTTCCCAAATGTTCCCATGCGAAGGACCCCCATATCCAGGGCTGCACATAACTGGTGCGAGGTGCGCATGCGCACCTCCGCCAAAAAAAGAGCACCGTGTCATTTGAAAAAAGGAGCATTTGCGTACCAACATTGAGAGAGAGAAGGGAGAATAGAAAAGAGAGAGAGAGATAAATATATTTGCGAGTTGCATATGAACCTATGATATGAACTCAGGGCCGTAATAGATGTTCGCCTAGGGCGCCAGGTCTGGGGAGGCGCTGCGCTGGCAGCTCTGGGAGGGAAAAAAACATTTTTGACCGTAGGTGCTCATCCTAATTTTTGGCCTTGATGTAACAACATTCATAATTAAGTAAATGTAACACCCTTTTCACCCCGGTTACACGTTTCATTTGCCCTGTACGATGGGCGCTGTAAGTGATGAAAATGGGGGATGTTGGCTTATCTGGCGCCCGCAGCTCACAGACAAAATACGAGGGAGAGAGAAGGGCGCACCGCCCGGTACCGGCGCTGTTGTTATTAGAATCTGGTGCCGTGCTAGCTGCTTTAACGGATATAAGAAGATGTTTCTACAATAATGTGGAGGAGAGTCCTCTCCAGTCAGACTGAGAGGCTGATAACTACAGCTCAGTGAGGTAAGGACTCTGAGTGTTTAGATAGTTCACTTTAGTCTAAGTTCAAACGGTTTGGTCACAATTTATGTAAACACATATTTCCAAGGCACTCCTTTATAATTATTGGGATAAACAGGTTTGAAATCATTCCAATGTATACTATAGGACAGTAACCAAAAATATCCTTTAAAACTGGAGAGATAAAAAAAATGCATAAATAAATGTTAAGGTAAAATAAAATATGAATGAACAACACAAATAAAATAAGTTACATTAATTTGTTATTGGCTATGGTAGGTTATTGGTTATGTTCACATACTTATTTGATCACATCCACTTGTCTAAGATGACAACAGAGACTTTCGACCCAAACCCAGCTGTTGACTTGTGGATGCAAGCATCTAATCACAGACTCAACCAGAGAGAAAGAAGTAGGCCTACATCATCAGCTACCATGTCTGACAGAGAGGAAGACAGTGAGGAGAACAGTCAGGAGGGCAGTGATGACAGCTTGTAGGATTACTGGTCGTGCTAATGTTGTCTTGTGTTCACATCTGCATGTGTGTTCTGTGTTCACCTCTGCATGTGTGTTCTGTGTTCACCTCTGCATGTGTGTTCTGTGTTCACCTCTGCATGTGTGTGTTCTGTGTTCACCTCTGCATGTGTGTTCTGTGTTCACCTCTGCATGTGTGTTCTGTGTTCACCTCTGCATGTGTGTTCTGTGTTCACCTCTGCATGTGTGTTCTGTGTTCACCTCTGCGTGTGTGTTCTGTGTTCACCTCTGCATGTGTGTTCTGTGTTCACCTCTGCTGTGTGTGTTCTGTGTTCACCTCTGTGTGTTCTGTGTTCACCTCTGTGTGTGTGTTCTGTGTTCACCTCTGCATGTGTGTTCTGTGTTCACCTCTGCATGTGTGTTCTGTGTTCACCTCTGCATGTGTGTTCTGTGTTCACCTCTGTGTGTTCTGTGTTCACCTCTGCATGTGTGTTCTGTGTTCACCTCTGCATGTGTGTTCTGTGTTCACCTCTGCATGTGTGTTCTGTGTTCACCTCTGCCTGTGTGTTCAGTGTTCACCTCTGCATGTGTGTTCAGTGTTCACCTCTGCATGTGTGTTCTGTGTTCACCTCTGTCTGTGTGTTCTGTGTTCACCTCTGCATGTGTGTTCTGTGTTCACCTCTGCCTGTGTGTTCAGTGTTCACCTCTGCATGTGTGTTCTGTGTTCACCTCTGCATGTGTGTTCAGTGTTCACCTCTGCATGTGTGTTCTGTGTTCACCTCTGTGTGTTCTGTGTTCACCTCTGTGTGTTCTGTGTTCACCTCTGCATGTGTGTTCAGTGTTCACCTCTGCATGTGTGTTCTGTGTTCACCTCTGCATGTGTGTTCTGTGTTCACCTCTGCATGTGTGTTCTGTGTTCACCTCTGCATGTGTGTTCTGTGTTCACCTCTGCATGTGTGTTCTGTGTTCACCTCTGCATGTGTGTTCTTTGTTCACCTCTGCATGTGTGTTCAGTGTTCACCTCTGCATGTGTGTTCTTTGTTCACCTCTGCATGTGTGTTCTGTGTTCACCTCTGCATGTGTGTTCTTTGTTCACCTCTGCATGTGTGTTCAGTGTTCACCTCTGCATGTGTGTTCAGTGCCGTGTGTCTGGCAAATAAAGTCAAGACCCCCTCAAAAGTTACGGTTTATTTCATTTTAAGGATGAGCACCAAGCAACATCTCCAGGTGCTCCTTTGAGAACCAGGGCAAAAAAGTTATGTGCACCCCTGCCCATATCGCATTATTCTCTGGCGGGTACCCCCCTGTTGCAATTCTTTATTTTTTTAAAATGATGAGTACATTATGATGGAAAATATGACAAATTAATCATACAGCTTAATACATTTTCTTAATATATATTTGTATTAATAATCAGTTATTAAACGGTAATATCAACAGTAAATATATTTTTAAAGCATTTTTAAAGTGATTTCTGTCTTTATAATATTATATAATTTTGAATAGTAATATGAACAATTAAAGGTCCCATGTCATGCTTTTCCGGTTATTGCCCGTCCCCTTGTTGTTATGAAGGTTTTTATGCATGTAAACAGTCTGCAAAGTCAAAACCCTCAAAGTACACCCTGTAGCGAGTAAACTCTAACACAGAAAATACCTCCCCCAAAAGCCTCGTTGGAGATTTCTCAGTTTCCATTGTTTACTTCCTGCCCCGCGTGACGTCACTTCCTCTGCCAGCCGACCATATTAAGTGTCGTAAAACCTGCTTCTTTTCAAAGCTCTATCCAGTCATGTCGCGGAGGGTCTGTTGTCTGTATTGTGTGGAGAAATCCACAATGTTTGCAGTACCGAAGGCAGAACCACGACGAAGTCAGTGGTTGACATTCCTTTTTAACACTGTTCCAGCTGATTTACCAGCCGGTACTGTTGTGTGTGCGCGGCATTTCACGGACCTTAGCTTTAAAAACGTAACAATGTTTAGCTTCGGACTTGCTGTAAAGCTGATATTGGAGGACGATGCTGTTCCTACTTTGTTTGGACCAGCGGGAGATTCTGGTACACAACCTGTAAGTATTCATTGTGGTTTGTGTATTTATTCTGTTTAAAACAAACAATGTATCTATCACGACTGTGTAAATGCTATGCTAATGCTATGCTACCGAGGTAAACACGAGGGCTAACGAGCATTCCCAGACCTCAACACCGATGTTAGCACATGGCCTTACATGTATCTCATAGCAGGAGAATGTCTGCAAACACACACGAAATACTCAGACAGTATACTCCGGGTGATTTAACCGTACGGTCAGTAATTACAGTTGCTGTTCGTGTATTCTACCGAGCTACCATTAATAAGCTAAGCTAGAAGCTCTAACCTAGAGATGTTATGAAAAACATTGTTTTCATGCCAGCTACAATGAATGACCGAACGTAGCAGACTATCTGTAGAACATTGTAATTGTAAAAGTGTTGCTTTTATGAAATTGACTGTTTTCCTCGGATACACAATTAATTGTATGAATACTATGTGTATCTTTCTTAGAGTACATCACAGCAGGAACACAATACCAACTGCTCCAGTACAGTCGGATGTCAAACAGACCGTCCACAGACTGTGTGGGAACTCAGAGGGTTGAGACACGGTCTGTGGGAACACAGACAGTGGAATGTAAAGTGTCCGCCATTTCTGTTGCTACACAGTTGGCCCGGGGAACACTGAAATCGGCACACGTGAGAAGCAAAGGTAGACTATAACACTGACAAATCACAGATACATTACCTTAATTGTGCTTTTATTACATGAACAGCACTTGGGCTCGACCAAAAATCGTTTTTAAATGTGCTCTATAAATAAAACCTTATTTGATATTATTGTATATCACAGAAATACTGTTATGTTGACTACAAGAAATACAGTGCTGTTTGTAGTTTGTACATTTTTCATGAATTAATCTGTCAGATGTACACAAGTTGTTGGCCTTTTACAATGTATTAGTGTCTTATCTAATGTACGTAGTATTTATGCACTTTTCCCTTTTTATTAACAGGCATCCAGGCCACGGTGTCTTTCAAAAGTGTTGGCACTAAAACTTCCACCTACACAGAAATCCCCTTGACCACAGGCACAATCCACGCACTGTGACGTAAAGTACATTGTTTTTGAAAGCTGCCTCAGACAGCTGTTTGAAAAATGTCCGGTGTGTAAGACAGACTGTGATGTCCAAACAAGAAAAGTGGGGACCTATGTGGCGTTCACACAGCGTTGTTCAAACTGCAGTTACTTCAGGAAATGGGAGAGCCAGCCCGTCATCGGAAGTACCCCGGTTGGCAACTTACAATTATCCGCTGCTACATACTTCACTGGGGGTTCCTTCTTCCAACTACGAAAGGTATTTTACCATCTCTAACATCTATAGCATATGAAAAATGACAGCAGTGGACTTTTTCAAAAACGTTTCCTTTTTTTCTATTTATTCATAGATATGCAGCTGGAGATCATCGGGTATGGGACCTTCAGGAGGCATGCTAAGAGTTACCTGGAGCCTGCTATTATCCACAAGTGGAACACTGATCAGCAGCAGAATTTCGATAATCTACAACAACAGGGGGGAAAGGTCGCAGGAGATATGAGAGCAGACTCTCCAAGTAAGCAGAAACAGACAAGACAGTCTAGTGCCAGAGTTACTGGTGTATATTACAATTCATCTACTTATCCATTGAAGTTCGGTTGAAAAGCCTTGAAACCTCCTGTATTATCTTTTCTTCAGGCCACTCGGCTAAGTTCGGGAGCTACACACTCATGAACCTGGGAAGCAACACCATTCTGGACTTCCAGCTTGTTCAGGTGTGATTCTCTTTCTGGGTGCTATCATTTTAGGCTTGCTGGCTGTTGATGCATGCTTCTGTGTATTTATGCCCTATTTGTTATTCCCCAACAGAGCAATGAAGTAGGTGGTAGTTACCACATGGAAAAGGAGGGACTCAAAAGATGCCTAGATCATCTGGAGTCAAAGGATTTGGCGGTTGAGTACATTGTGACTGACCGTCATCCGCAGATCCAGAAGTACCTGAGGGAACGCAACATCGAACAATTCTATGATGTGTGGCACTTTGAAAAAGGTATTTATCCCTATATGTTGTAATGGAAGAATACCAAATCAGAGGCACTGTCCTTTGTTAAGATATTCCTTTGTTTTACTATGCAATTTATCCTGAGCTTCTAATCAGCAGCAGACATGACATAATGTCTGAATACATTCATTATATCTCCTACAATGTGGCCAGAGCACTTGATCACAGCACCTTTTCTCATTGTAAATTACATTTCACTCACTAATCCTAGGATAATGTGAGTACTCTTTAGAATGGGAATTTACAGTGATATGAATATGTATGGAGGTTTCCTGGCTATGAAATGTTTTCAGACAGAAGGGTGTCGCACTGACAGGCAATTATCATATGCATGTTATGGTTGATGATATATGAAGTGTGGAATTTCCACCACACCCTTGAATGTTGTCCATCACAGCACGTCATTTCCACACTATGGCTTGAATATTAACTTGTGCATGTGCTTTTTTTTTATCATGTTTGTCCAAGAAACTTCTGAAACTTACACAGAACAAGGACTGTGACACGAAGTTGAAGAGGTGGCTGCGCAGCATAAAAAACCATGTCTACTGGAGTGCGACGAGCACAGCCTCGGGGCCGGAGAAGGTGGCAAGGTGGACGTCACTGATCAACCACCTACAAAACGTTCACGTGCATGATGACCCCCTGTTCCCCAAGTGCACACATCCTGTAGGAGCCGCAAGCGATGCAAATAAACCTTACCTAAAAGGTGGTAAGTTCAATTTTTCACTTCCTTCATAAGATCAACAATATAGAATGTAAATATAACATTGTTGCTGTGGCAAATTATTGTTGTAATGTTCTAATGTGCTGGTGATTTACCTAATGTCTTTGTCATTTTACTCAAGGCTCAATAACACTCGCCAGAGTTGAAACGATACTCACCAACAAGAGAGTTCTCAAAGATGTGCTAAAGCTAAGCCATCACTACCAGACCTCATCCCTGGAGTCCTTCCACAACTTAATTCTGCGTTTTACCCCAAAAAATGTGGTTTTCCCCTTCATTGAAATGTTGTGCACTGTATACTTTATTCTGTAGCATCTTATAACACAGTCACTGTTTAGTGGCATGAGGGTTTTATTCTGTCATAACACAAAGTCTCATTTTATTTTGTTATTCTATAGGTTGTGTCTAGCAGCAATGCATCACAACGAGAATGCTGGGCGTGACCAAGCGACAACTGCTGCAGGAAAACTTGTCTTCAAATTGGCTTATCCAAAATCAAAGAGGGGAGAGTGTACGGTCAAGTCTGTTAAGAACGACCCTACATACAGTAAGTTGTGAAATATTTGTTTTTATTATTATTAACAGAACTTACATTTCAAATGATTAAAGATACAATGAACAATAAAAGTATTACATTAAATACAAATAACAAATTATTTATACAATGCTTTCTTTTTCAGTCTATGTGGATGAGCTGACGAGGCTTGTGTTTCACAAAGTCTTTCTGGACCCTACACCCTTTGTGGACGAGCTGAAACGAATCCACGTCCCAGAGGACCTGTCAACTCAATTTGACAGGCCCCCCAAGGAGGAAATGATTGTCAGCCGTTTCTCCCGTTTCCCCCCAAAGGAGGTCGAAATCCTACATATTGTCCAGCCAGATCTGGAAACTCCTGGCGGATCCGGAGCACAACACACGACGGAATCACCACTCTGATGCCTCGCCCTAAATATCCCCAGCACCAGCTTACAAAGCTGCGATACGCAAGATATCGAAAACGCCTATCGGGAGAGGAATGGATGATGTACATTACATTCAAATATAAATATACATTCACACATTTTGTACATTTGTAAAAATAAAGTTTGATGGAAATACTTAGTAGCCTTTCTTTCCTGAATGATTTGCTCCTATAATATATCATTCATATATAGCAAACCATGATTTGATTTTTCATCAAACGGTAGTAGTTTATTACAGGTAACAATAACTTACTCTTCTTCCGTTGTATTTGTCAAAGGTCCGAAACTGTATTTATAAATATTGTGGAGATTCTGCAGGGTGTATGGGTTCAAGCAGTTAGGCTCTAGTCCTGGGTGGTCAACCATGCAGTTAATGGGTTCTGGAACTTGCAGCATGCGTGTTACAACCTATGAATGTAAGATGTGTTACAAAACACGTTTAGCTTTTAAACCAACTATGGGAAATGTTTACAAAATAAACATTCAATTACTAAGGAAGTAATACAAGTGCATATAATAGTCTATTGACTTGAAAAACATGTATGCTGTATATCTTGGTATATGTGTGCTACTGTTGGTGTTTTCAGCTAGCTGCCGACATAATGTAACTAAGCTAGGCTACCTTTCTTATGCTATTGCAGCACACGTTTTCTCCGTCACTTGGCATCAAAGCGCAGTTTCCACAACGGCACCTAAATAACAACAGTTGTAGGTACATCTGATGACATCTGAAATGTAAGACATATACTAGATAAAAACGTACCACAATGACACTGTTTGGTCTGCTCTAGTGAACGGCGAGGCAAGACTCGCGATTTGGTCTATTCTAGGATCGAACGGAGGTTCGAAATTGTATGCTCCATACGCCATTGTATGCTATATGTAAGCTATCTATTTATCTATATAACTCTATCTATCGATTCTCAAATCTAGTATTGCTATGTTGCTAAGTACCCGCTAAACCACTTTACGGCAGATGTCAACAGGGGCAGAGCCTCTCTGGTGGTTGACTAATCAGAACAGAGTGGCAGAGCTGACCAATCGGAGCACACTGGACGCACAGGAGGGTGGGGGCAGGAACTCCATCGAGCCGTTTAGCACAGGGAGTGAAAACTCATACTTTACAGAGATAATGTATGAGAAACCAATCTGAGTTTGGATAATTGCACAGTATTTTTCTATTGTAATATCCTTCAACAATGGTATTATGATCAGTAGAAAGGACCATGCAATGGGGCCTTTAACATATATTTTTAGCATTTTTGAAAGCTACTTATGCCTTAATAATATTATATGTAATATTCAACAGTAATATTAACATTAAACATATTTATATTCATATATATAAACATCAATATTCGCTACATCCGTGCTCTCATCCAGCTGCAGAGCGAAACATTCACTAGCTCTCACTTGCTCCAAAAGCTGAGCACATACTCAGTTTCACTCTCAGTAGCGGCAGCTCGATTCTGATTGGCTTGAAGGGCGGTCATGTGATTTAAAAACAAAAAATATGAATAAATATTAAAAGATTGGCATCAAAGGACACATAGATTGATATATATGCAGTTATTAATAACATCTAAAAAATAAATGTAACTTAAAAAACTCCCCTTTCCCAAACTCAAACTTTGCGTGACCCCCCTGGCTTTCATTTGTCCATGTCCTTATTACTTTATTTTCTGGTTGACTTCCCTTCTGTTTGGTCTTATACACTGGTATCATATTCACAACATTATGCTCAGAGTTCAGTATTGGTGCTCTGTATTTAGACACAAAGGCTCCTTTATCGTTAACGAAGCATTTGTCCAGGATATTGTCTTTCCTGCTGTGATCCCTAACATACTGCTGGAACCCAGGTAACACAGTCTCCAGGCGACATTGCTTCATGTCCCCGAGCACTATTGCCGGTGCATCGGGGTGGCTGAGTTGCAGCTCGTGAACACGGTCAGCGATGGAGCCGGCCGCCAGTGACGCTCTGCCGCTGGGAGGCACGTAAACAACAAACAGTAACATACACCCGAATTCTCTAGGCCAGTGGTTCTCAACCTTTTTACACCAAGTACCACCTGAGAAAAGAGTTGGCTCTCCAATACCACCATATGACCAATGTTCAAATACAGTCTATGCACAGTTCATGCAGGACTCGCAGGCACATGTATTCATAACATTATTTGTTGTCAGCTACTTGTACAAAGGGCTCTCTCTCACTCACACACTCATCTCTGTCTTTCTCTCACACATCTATCTCTCTATCTCTCTCTCTCTCTCTCTCTCTCTCTCTCTCTGTCTCTCTCTCACTCACACACTCATCTCTGTCTTTCTCTCACACATCTATCTCTCTATCTCTCTCTCTCTCTCTCTCTCTGTCTCTCTCTCTCATCTCTGTCTTTCTCTCACACATCTATCTCTCTCTCTGTCTCTGTCTCTCTCTCTCTCACACACTCATCTCTGTCTTTCTCTCACACATCTATCTCTCTATCTCTCTCTCTCTCTCTGTCTCTGTCTCTCTCTCACTCACACACTCATCTCTGTCTTTCTCTCACACATCTCTCTCTCTCTCTCTCTCTGTCTCTCTGTCTCTCTCTCACTCACACACTCATCTCTGTCTTTCTCTCACACATCTATCTCTCTATCTCTCTCTCTCTCTCTCTCTCTGTCTCTCTCTCACTCACACACTCATCTCTGTCTCTCTCTCACTCACACACTCATCTCTGTCTTTCTCTCACACATCTATCTCTCTTTCTCTCTCTCTCTCTCACTCTCTCTCTCTCTGTCTCTCTGTCTCTCTCTCACTCACACACTCATCTCTGTCTCTCTCTCACTCACACACTCATCTCTGTCTTTCTCTCACACATCTCTCTCTCTCTCTCTCTCTCTCTCTCTCACTCACACACTCATCTCTGTCTCTCTCTCACTCACACACTCATCTCTGTCTTTCTCTCACACATCTATCTCTCTATCTCTCTCTCTCTCTCTCTCTCTCACTCACACACTCATCTCTGTCTTTCTCTCACACATCTCTCTCTCTCTCTCTCTCTCTCTCTCTCTATCTCTATCTCTCTCTCTATCTCTATCTCTCTCTCTCTCTCTATCTCTCTCACACTCATCTCTGTCTCTCTCACACTCATCTCTGTCTCTCTCTCTCTCTCTCTCTCTCACACTCACTCACTCACACACTCATCTCTGTCTCTCTCTCACTCACACACTCATCTCTGTCTTTCTCTCACACATCGTTCTCTCTCACTCATCTCTCTCTCTCTTTCTCTCTCACTCATCTCTCTCTCACTCATCTCGCTCTCTCCTTTTCTTTCTCTCTCACTCATCTCTCTCTTTCTCTCTCTCTCTTTCTCTCTCACTCATCTCTCTCTCACTCATCTCTCTCTCTCCTTCTCTCTCTCTCCTTTTCTTTCTCTCTCACTCATCTCTCTCTTTCTCTCTCACTCATCTGTCTCTCTCACTCATCTCTCTCTCTCACTCATCTCTCTCTCTCCTTCTCTCTCTCTCCTTTTCTCTCTCTCTCACTCATCACTCACACACCACAAGTGAGAACATAAAGAACAAAATAACTTATTCTCACTCAACTGTACACACAGCCTTCTCTCCTCCATCACAGCGGCTGTGCACATCACTTTTGTGTTGCTGGCGGAGCCTGCGCTTGTGCTCGGTTGATGACTGTCCTCATTCACTTGTTCACTTTCGCTGGTAATATTCTCCTCTGTACCTCTCTCACAACATCATTCAGCTTTCTTTAGCTTGCTTGCAACGTTCGCTAATCGTTCGCGGGTAGTATGGTCGTCATTAGCAACACCAGAAAAAAGAAAAAAAATGTGTTTCTAAATCTAAAAACAACAATAGCCTATTAGAACTAATTTAAACCACAGTTTCAATTATCTCAATCTCAATCTTATTTTCATTCGTTGTAGTATTTTGATAGTATGATTTATTTTGTAATTAATGTTATTCAATCAAGCCTCAAACTGAGGGCACTTGTCCCTATAGCCTGTTTTAAATTAAAGTAGTCTGAGGTCCTTACCACCAGCTGCTCTTGCAGTAAGTAGTGCACCTTACTGTCCCAAATGTAGTGACAGCTTTTCGTCTTTTTGTTTACTTAGTTGTGTTTTCTGTATTTTATGTGTCAGAACGTGTAACGTTGCTGCCTTCTTGGCCAGGTCAGCATTGTAAATGAGATTTTGTCTCAATGTTTTCATCTGGTTAAATAAAGGTTAAAGGAGGGAAAAAAAGGATTTCTTTTTTTTTTTCTTTTTTTTTTATATGTCAGATTCCTCTGCGTACCACTAGCGGTTGAGAACCACTGCTCTAGGCAGATAAAAGGGTTTTAACGTCATGCCGAGAATTTCTACGTTGGGATTGCAGGTTTTACATTTTACTGAGTATGATCGGCACCACAGATCAAATCCGGGTACTTCAAAGAGAGATTCAGGCATTGTAGATTGTAGTAAGCGGTTCCGCCAGGGGGGCGTTTTGCCGTCATTTGACGCAATTATTCAACCTGAACTCGAGCCGAGGGCATTCGAAAAAATAAATAATTCGAGAGAAGATCGAGTTTTTTTAAGGGGACAAGGACATCCCTCTGTTGGAAGGGCAAAGGTGTCTGGTGGGATTATTTTCGGAGTATTGAAGAGCGTTTCCTCGACATCGGCGGTGCCTTCCACAGGACAACACGGACCGTGCACGATTAGGACGCGATGAGCGCGGGGGTGCTAGTGGAGCTGCCGCATGAACTGAGGCTCTGTGGTAAACTGTGGTAAAATAAATCGCTAAAAAGAGCCGGAATTCCCATCACTGACGTAAAGAGATAGTATCTATAAGGGATGGAGCCACAGTGAAGTAAACAGTAAAAGGCACAGCTCTTTGCAGCTGGTGCTGCTCTTCTAAGATTCTCCTGTGTTACACGTTACTGCCTCCTGGTGCCGCAGAGATTTCATGAAGTCAAGGAGGTTTTCCTTCTATGAAACAGCTGTGGGCAGCAGATACTGTGAGAGTCACGGACATTAATTCATAGATCTAGGCAGACTGGTTCACAGACTCTCCTGGTTTGCCAATCCGGTGCTTGAACAAATAGCTCTAAACCCCTGGCCGAAATGTCCCTAAAATGAAGTCCGAGTTAGAAATATATCTCAAATAATGTATATATTTCCCCACATAAACATAACAGTCTGCAATGAAACGGCTGTCTCCTGTGCGCTCCACTTCCTACTTTCTCCCTCTGCAAATGAGATATTTTCTCTCTTCTTTTTTTTTCATTGCCCTTTAGGGGCTTCGTACAATACAACTGCAAATATTTCATTTTAAAAAGTAAAGTCCTTTCGAGTCATCTGTCTCAAGTCATGAATACCAAGTCAAGTCGAGTCTTTTATCAATGTTAGTCAAGCAAGTCTCAAGTCAAAAAATATGCGAGTCAAGTCATGTGACTCGAGTCCCCCACCTCTGGTATATACTGTGGTTAGAATATTGCTGTATTACTGTATCAAATATAATAAACACAAACAGTTAAGTAGTATATTGTTAACTCGAGGTTTAAATTAGTGAGTTTTCATTGTGTTAACTTGTGTATTTATGCTTTTTAGATTTACTTTCTCTCTTTCTCTGTCCGTCTGTTCTAGAAACTGAAAGGAAAGAGACGTCACAGCTGTCAGCAATGTGACAAATCATTTACACAATCTGGAGATTTAAACCGCCACCTGCGTATTCACACAGGAGAAAAACCGTACAGCTGTGAAGAGTGTGGGACAACTTTCAGTCAAGCAAGTAATCTCAAATCACATCAACTATTCATACTGGAGAAAAACCGTACTGGTGTGAAGACTGTGGGAAAACGTTCACTAGATCAGATGCTCTCAAATTACATCAACTATTCACACTGGAGAAAAACCGTACAGCTGTGAAGAGTGTGAGAAAACTTTCACTACATCAAGTGCTCTAGAATCACATCACCGTATTCACACTGGAGAAAACCCGTACTGTTGTGAAGAGTGTGGGAAAACTTTCACTACATCAGGTGCTCTCAAAACACATCAAAGTATTCACACAGGGGAAAAACCGTACAGCTGTGAAGAGTGTGGGACAACTTTCACTACATCAGGTGCTCTAGAAGCACATCACTAGGGTTGGGAACCGAAACTCGGTTCCAGATGAGAACCGATAAGAAAATGCCGGGTACCGGGTACCCGTACAAAATACACCTTTTCGGTTCTGCTTAACGGTTCCTAAACGCGGTAGACCCTGTATTCCAGCGGGTCCGTCTGTACCGCGGCGCCGCGGTGACCCGGTGGAATACAGGGCGGACCTGGAGAATCACAGAACGGCCGGTCGTCAGCGGGCCGTTGACGGCCGGCTCGGTACGCTGATGGCCGGCACCGCCCTTAATTTTTTTAAACGGCATCATGTAAGTTGCGCTGACAGGCGACAGAGGTCCACAGTTGCCCCGCAGCGAGGCTCCCCCCCGCCCTCCCGTAGACAGTTCACGAGCTCAGTCACTTCATAACACCAAAGATGGGTCGCGGTAAACGCTCTGAAGTGAGGCTCCACTACACTAAAAAATAAAAAGACAATTGGGCACAGTGTTAATAGCTTGCCACAGGCATAGCTCAGTTAAAATAAAGCACAGCTATTGTGCAATACATTTGTATTGCATGTATATTTTTTATTTGTAACAATTTCAGTTAAAGCTGAAAAGAATAAAGATATTTTTGTTATCTAAACGTTTGACCTCTTTCTTTTACAATTTTGGAATCGAAACGGGGAATCGATAAGAACCGGAATCGATAAGCAGAACCGGAATCGGAATCGGAATCGATAAATTTCAAACGATACCCATCCCTACACATCACCTATTCACACTGGAGAAAAACCGTACTGGTGTGAAGAGTGTGGGAAAACGTTCAGTCAAGCAAGTAATCTCAAATCACATCAACTATTCATACTGGAGAAAAACCCTACAGCTGTGAAGAGTGTGGGACAACTTTCAGTCAAGCAAGTAATCTCAAGAAACATCATCATATTCACACTGGAGAAAAACCGTACTGGTGTGAAGACTGTGGGAAAACGTTCACTAGATCAGATGCTCTCAAATTACATCAACGTATTCACACTGGAGAAAAACCGTACAGCTGTGAAGAGTGTGAGAAAACTTTCACTACATCAAGTGCTCTAGAATCACATCACCGTATTCACACTGGAGAAAAACCGTACAGCTGTGAAGAGTGTGGGACAACTTTCACTACATCAGGTGCTCTAGAAGCACATCACCGTATTCACACTGGAGAAAACCCGTACTGGTGTGAAGAGTGTGGGAAAACGTTCAGGAGATCAGATGCTCTCAAAATACATCTTCGTGTTCACACAAGAGTAACACCATAGTGGTTTTAAGAGTGTGGGAAAACTTTTTCTTCAAGGATTCACCTTAAAGTCCACGAGCGAATCCACACTGCATCCTTTTGATCAACTATGAGAGCCAAGCTAGCTGTTTCCTCCGCCTGATGTCCTAAGAGCTGTATTTATATTTTAAGTTTGAGTTGAATTTAAGTGTGACTAACAGTTTATGTTCTAACCAGCATTCACACTATGCCAACACAAGGCCACAGAGATGCTGCTTCTCCTGATTTAATTCATATTTGTAATGGTTCCTGATCTTTAAAGAAATGTTATACTACTATACTTTGTTATTCCTTTTTTTATAAATATTATATCTCAACTGCTAGCCTCATTAAGCTGCATTGAAGGAATTTAGTTTCACTGTTCATTAATCCGTCGTGTAGTTTCTCCAATAATCATTTTGGTTAATAAAATGTTGTGACTTTAAAGATCAAATGCAAAGCTTCCAAATATGCTAAATTTTTATAGAAATGTTGTTTTTAAGACTGCCTGTATTTTTTATTTTATTTAAATCGAGATAATACACCCAAAAAAAAGCTTTTTATTGAACCAAAACTGAATTAACATGGGTTATTGTTGTGCTTTTTGTTGTACGAACGGTGCGGGATCTGGGAGAGTTTTACATGCATTTCCCAAAGACCAAATCATCCGCAAAAAATGGATTTTTTTAGTGAATCGTGTTGGATGGCAACCGACAAAATGGAGCAAGTTGTGTTCTGACCACTTCGCGTGTGATGCATACGACGTTGATCCTGCTATCATCAAGTCTGTTGGTGCAGAAGCATTAATAGCACGTCGGAGGCTGAAACCCGGAGCCGTCCCCTCCATATTTCAGCACAAGAAACCACTGAAAGAACGAAAGAGCCGGGCGATGCAGAAACGCCAAAGAATTGAGGTAAACAACTTTTGATTAGATTTCAAAGCGCACGGAGCACAGCGCAGTTGTATTGCTTATAGAGGTGGGCACCGTTAGATTCTGTGTCTTTACGATCATAAACAATGTGTTGGATGTGGAGCTAGGATAAGTAATAAGGGCGCTAGGAGTGATTTCGGTGCAGTAATAGGTTAGCATTTTTCGCTCGGGGCTAATTCACTGTTAGCATTGTAGTTTGTCTGCAGCTCATTCATCGCTCCTCCACTCATAACGGAAAAGTGTGAACAATATGCATTATGATAGGGATTAAATCCACTATTATTCCTCCTGGCCCAATTTAAAAATGCCCCCCGCGCAATTAAAAGTGACTGTGAGCACTTAGAAAACCCAACATTCTTCTAACCACTTCATTAGGCCTATGCATCAAAAAAGCCCTCCGCCATGCTTTCATTTCTTTCAGCCGAGTGGGTGCTTATAGAGGTGGGCACCGTTAGATTCTGTGTCTTTACGATCATAAACAATGTGTTGGATGTGGAGCTAGGATAAGTAATAAGGGAGCTAGGAGTGATTTCGGTGCAGTAATAGGATTCCTAAAGCTTTTAGTCTATAGTCTACTCAGAATCAGACATGATAACGAAACTAAGTTGTACTATCGGCGGAAGCAGCTGTGAGCGATAAGCCAAGGTTTGTTTGTTTGTTTGGCCACTGTGACGTCACGCGACGCCATGTTGCGGAGGAGCGGCTGAGAAAATAAATCGTCGGACTTGGTGTTGGGGGTTGAACAAAATACATATTGCGCATTGCCAGACGCATATTATCTCCGATTTTAATACTGCAATATCTTAGATAGTGTTGTAGCTATATGATTTCGATTTTACTGGCAATTATAAAAAAAACTTTGCATTTGATCTTTAAACTTTGATTGGGATGTTTTTGATAGTTCCTGTTGAGTTAGCAGTCTGTTCTGGTCTAAAAGAAGAACCAATGATTCATGTATCTAGAACAGGGATGGCAGGGCTCTCGACTAACTTTTTTCCCCATCCTCCCGGAACCGTCCCGAAATACAATCTAAGCTGTCCCGAAATTAATGTGGACCGTCCCAATTTAAAATGTGAGTTTTTCTACATTATCATTAGTTAAAATAATTCAAAGTGACCTTTAACATAAATAAAACATCATACAAATCATTAGATGATAATTCATCAACCTTTTTATTTGAGTAAATCATTCAATCACAGAAACAAAGGCCAAATATATTTAAACAAACACACAAACGAGAAAATGACTAATATTGAATCCAATCAAGTCCCATCCAATTAACAAAAAAATCCAACACTGTCCTGAAGACAAAACCCAGAGTAACCACTAACCAGGATGACAGTCTGTAACACAGTCAGGAGACCTTTACAAACTGCCCGCCCCCTCGCACACAGACGGGAGAGAGAGATCTCGTCTGGATTGGAAAGCTCGAAAATACATCATAGACACATCAATCAATCAATGTTTATTTATATAGCCCAATATCACAAATGTTACATTTGTCTCGGTGGTCTTCACAGTGTGTACAGAATATCAGTATGACAATACGACACCCTCCGCATGTTGTAGTCTTATTGCATATTAGAAACGGAGTTGGCGAAACTAAAACTGCGATATAATGTGTATGTAGCAATAATACATATGACATATTTTAAATGTCTCCAGTACCGATAAAAAGTCCGATAACGTCGGAGCTTAACGTTACCACTGTCTTTAATAATTCCGGCCCGGGACCCGTTTAATACCGGGGCTCGGTACCCATCCCTACATGGGGAGAGGCGCATCATATTGCTAAGGACTAAATACGATGGAGGGTTCTCTTCTCAGCCTTATTACCCATAGGGGATGAAGAGGAGTGAGTAAATAAAGAGGCCGGCGCTCCAGGGTCTGGTTCTGCTGTGCGTTTTTGTGATGTAACGGTAAAACATTTCATAATTCCTCCACGGGATGCCATTGTCATTTTACATCACTCAACCCGCGAAATACACACACTCGGTACATAGCTAGACCCGCAAATTTGCGGGCCAGGAATTCGCGGGCACAGCCAGCGGCACGGCGGTAGCTACGTGTGTGTATTTCGCGGGTTGCTAAATGTTTTGTTTATGTTGACAAGGAGGTTTAATAACTGTGTGCTACACAAAACGTGCAGTCGGTTTCATTTTCATCGCCGTTTGTAGTAGAGTTAGCAGGGTATTTTTATTTTAACTCTCGTCCCAAAATTATTTTTTATCCTCCCAGACACTATTTTTTTCGGCCTCGGGACGACGGGACGTCCTTAAAGGAATGCTCCACTCATTAGATAATTAATCAAAACTTCAGTATTTAGTGAAACATTATGTTTAAACCATACCCTGAAGAAATCAGCGATATTCCCCGGTAAATAATGATTTTATAGCTCTTTTTGATCAAAACCTGTATATTCCGTCAGGCAGCTGCCATTTTGCCCATTTTCAGTAGTCACGTGATGGTCGTGACGTCATCCATGTGTTCACTTTGTAAACACACGAAAACATGGCGGAGTATTTGAGTATTGTCAGGGCCCCAGCAAACATTTTAGAACATTTACTGATTTAAGCTAGAGAATTAAAGCAGTGTGGACAGTCTGAGAAACGTCGCCGGACAATTACAAAGACTAGATAATTCCAAAAGATCTCTATCTACAAAACTTCAAATT